GGGCGGGGCTAGGAGTGGAGGCGGCTCCCCCTGGAGTCTGAGGATTTGGCCTTTACCTGCAAGGGGTGGAGGGAAAGCTGAAACCATAAAGGCAAAGGGGCGGGACATGCCAGACCCAGAGCTGCTCCCTGCCGGCGCACAGCCCTAGTGCCTCAGAGTTGGAGTGTATCCGACTGTCTGTGTCTGGGCTGGGTGTGCACTGGAGCCTGGAGCTGGAGCCCTGATCTGTGAGCCCTGAGCAAGATCCCTGAGCCCAGGCCACCCACCACTCCACAGACCCGGCATGGAGGCATCCCGGGGCTGGGGAGGGCTGGCTGTGCTCTGGTGCCTTGGGCTCCTGGGCAGCCTAGTGAGTGTCACCGGCACTCACTACCGCTATCTGTGGAGGAACTGCTACCCGTGCCACCTGAGCCAGGCCGGCTACCCTGTGAGCACCGGTGACCAGAGGCCAGGTGGGCACCCCAGGAACAGGGGTGGGTGGGGTCAGGATGCCCCTCCCTAGCATGCTCCCTTTGTTTCTTTCTCTGTCTTTATATATTTTTTTTTGTTTGATGTGCACGGGTGTTTTGTCTGCATGTATGTATGTATACTATGTGCACGCAGTGACCTCAGAGGCCAGAAGAGGGCGTTGGATCCCCTGGAACTGGACTTACAGACAGTTGTGAGCCCCATGTGGGTTCTGGGAAGGAAATCCTCTGGATGAGCAGCAACTGATCTTAACTTGCTGTCAGCCCTCCATTTCTTTTTTTCAAAGTTTATGTCAGACAGTGAGCACAGGGGGAACCAGACCTGGAAGGGTCCAACAGGTGGTCACTAGTGCTGAGACAGGACCCAAATGTGTCCTGAGCAATCAGACCTTCCATCCTGTAACAGCAGGGAGGTCACTTGACTGGAGGAGGCGAGCACTCCTCGCTTCTTGCACTAAGTTTTCTATGTCCCCCTCCTCTGTGTCAGCCATTCTGGAGTCAGGCGAGAAGGGAGGTGCTTAGGAACATTTTGGGGTGGCCTGTGTGAGTATGGCAGGTGCTGTCATTTTGACCCACAAGGCTCTCGGTCCCAGCCAGCAGGGTCACTTAGAGGCTCTGGGTTCCAGACTCCAGCGGCCATGGGTATTAGGATCCTTTTATTCTAGTTCACCCTGGAAGCTTGGATTTGATGCCTCTGAGCCAGCCTCCCTCCGCGTGGCTGTGCAGAGCTTGGAGCTGGGCACCCTCAGGAATGTGACTAGAGGCTGTGGTGTATTCAGCTCTCAAGTGACTCATCACTCGCACCCCAGGGGGAGGCAAGGGCCTCTGGTGCTCCCTATCAAGCCCTCCTAGACTCGAGATGTCCCTGGGGTGAGTCTCACTCCTCCGTGCCTGAAAGACACCTGGGCATAATCAGATGCTGCTTGTCTTCTCTGCTGTGTCCCTCAACTCCGAGGGTCCTAAAGCCTCCAACCCTGAGCTGACCTCTTGCTCAGTGGTGAGGCTGGTATGTCACTGCCTTGTAAGTGGCACTTGGGAGCCTGTGTAGTATCAGGAGGTCTCAGTTGGGCATGCCAGGCTTTGGAGAACCTGGAGCCCAGTGCCTGCTCTGAGGCTTTTACAAGGGCAGCAGGAGAAGAAATCTCGTGGAGTATGGTTTTCAAGAGTGAGAACCTGGTGTCTGTGTGTAGCAACAGGAAACTCTCATTTGGTGCCTGGCAGAGTGGGCTTGCTGGCAAGGTCCCAGAGGTCTCTGTGTTTCCTGGAAGCCATAGTGATGCTTGAGAAAGCTCTGAGGTGGTTTCCACAGAGGCAACATTTGGTGGTTGGCTAGCCTTGACTGTTGTATGTTGTTGGGCGGGGAGCTGGTGGGTTGGGTACAGATTGGTGCCCCTGGTCTCTCCTGATGGCATTCTTGGTGCCTCCCTGCAGCACCACCAGCCTAAGCTTAGCAGGTACTTACAGGCTTACCCAGCTCCCAAGGGAACTGGCCCAGGTTGGCACAGCGATGTTGCCATGTGCTGCGGATCCCGTCACGAGGCTGCCAAGTCCCCAGTCACTGGTCACAGCAGATGGGGGCAGAACTACTTAAAATGACTTTTCCAGTTCCCCCAGCTGGATGACCCTTCCCTGGTACTCTTGGGTTTGCCTGCTACCAGACATAGCCCCTTGAGCAAGCAGGTCCCGTTCTGACTCTCAGGTCATGTTAGGGTGCACGCTCTGCTCAGGGCCATTCTTGTTGGGTCAACAGGAGGGTGTCTGTGCTATAGTGGCATCCCAGCTATCCCTGCTATTTTTGGGGGGCTCTGCTCTTTGGAGCATCTCAGGATGGTCCCACTGCAGGCTCAGTGTGACCTCAGCTGCACTGTCTCTGTGTGGAAGGTGTAGCACATTCCTGGGGCACGGGCTTGTGGGATGAGGAAATTCCAGGGAACCTCGCCTCTGAGCATGCCAGGACACAGATAGCTCTTGTGAGCCTGGCCATGCAGATGACCTCCAGCAAGTACTGCTGGGTCAGGAGGCCAGGCTAGAAACTGTGGGCTCATGGAGTAGCAGCTCATGTGACCTGAGTCACACAATAGATTTATCTGTACTCTGTATTTTTTTTCTCATGACCACTCTTTAAGTTCAATTTCCACTTGGTACCCTAAAACAAAACAGACGCAGGCTGGGGTGTAACTCAGTTGGTAGAGTGTTTGCCTGACATGCACAAAACCATGGGTTCCATTCTCAGTGCTGCATTAAAAACTAGATGTAGTGGCCTGTGTCTGTAATCCCAGCACTCAAGAGGTGGAGGCAGGGGTTAGAAGTTTAGGGCTATCCTTGGCTACATAGTGAGTTTGAGGCTGGCCTTGGCTATATGAGACCTATCTCAAACAAAAACAATAAAACTCGACTAATTACCTGGTAGTGGTGGAGGTGGGAGTCCCAAAAAGGCTAGAATTGAGATGTAAGCATCGAGCAAACCTGGGAGAACCTGTGTCTTCTCCCTCCTGGTGCACAGAGGCCTGGACTCAATGCTGACGTGACAGGCCTGTCCACCCCCACCTCCTTGCTCTCTCTGACCCTCCCATCCCCTTGTAAGCCTTGTGGTGGCCTTGTGTTTGTCCAGATAATCCAGGACTCTTCCCAAGTCAGCGGCCTCTGCGCAGTCCTGTCTTCAGTTTCCATTTTGCTGAATGGTGTCATGAGAATGGGGATGTGAGCATCTTTAGGGACATTATCTAGCCTGCCATGCTAACTTTAAGGACTGTTGAGCCTGTGGCTCCTCAGGTCATAGCTAAAGCTCTACTTGTGGGTTCAGCACCTCAGAGGCCCTCCAAACTGTTTGAGAACTGCTCTGTGCTGCCGCCCGGTGGCCCACTTTGGGATGAAGCAAGCAGGGTCCTGCCCTGCTTTCAGAATGTCAGTTATTTCTGTAAAAGGGGTTTCTCTCGGTTCAGAAGAAGCTTGGCTGCCAGGGCTGAAGGGATGTGTTGGGGAAAAACCCTTCAGTCTGCGATGGACCCGCTGTGTCTAGATTTGGGTTCTAGAGGATGGCAGTGCTGGGGGTGCTGAGAGCTGATTCAGCCCATGCTCCATTATAAACTGTTACTCCCACGGTAGTAGGTCCTCCATTTCCAGGAAGCACCTCAAAGGTAGGAAGACATTGAAGCTGGAGTTATTATGCTAGTCCCTCCTAAAAGGCACTTGGAACAGTGATAAAGCCCCTATCCCTGCCTGATGTCTCATAGGAGTGATCTGGGACCCTTGTAGGGAGTTGGTTGCACACAGAGGGAGGCTAGAGTAACTGTCCCTGTCTAAAATGACTGTGGAGAACTGGGAGGTATGCGTGATCAGGGAGACCCATGCTGTCACACCTGTGTATGGAGGGCTAGCGGAGGGGTCCTATTGAGAAACGACTACCTTGTGCCCAGAGTTCCTTCACAGACTGCTTTCTGCTTGAGAGTCTGTGGTCAGCAGGGCTCCCAGGCTTCTGAGGAGCATGCAACTGTGCAGACTGTCCGTTCCCCTCTGACTGGCCTGGGAGAACTGAGATCCCTTTGCAGGGTTCTGAGAATGGCTGAGAGTCCATTGCTCTTATAGCTTGTTCACCTTAACCACAGTGTTGGGGGTCAGGAGTGGTGCCCAGGAATGCCCAGACTGTCTAGATAGGGTTTTACAGACCCGCTGGCTGAGAAGGTCCCTGGCACGTATGTCAGCTGAGCTGTGTGTGCTTCTGTGACCATCTAGGGATTTGAAATCAGGAGCCACTCCTCTCTGGACCCCATGAAATGGATGTTGTCACCCTAACTCTTCTAACGTGGGGCCTGAAACCCTTATCATGCCCTGGCTCTTCTGTCTCTCGAAGTATTTTGAGTCCTCATTAGCACCATCAAGCCTTCGTTTTCAAGCCAAGGACTCATGTGACAGTGGCTTTGTGGAACAGAAGCAGGAGCTTGTGGCTTTGTTTCCCTGCCTCTTGTGACAGGTACACAGAGCAGGGCACCCTCTTGTGGCTCCAGGTGAGCCCCTTGCCAGCCAGCCAATTGGCTCTTCACCACATCCCCATTGTTGCCCCAAGGTACCTGGTGGCACTCACCATACAAATTCCAGAAAACCTCCTGGAAGGGGGCATCATGGAATGAGGGTCACACTCGCAGAAGACAGGTCTTAGGAAGCACCGAGAAAGAGAAAGGAGACGCTGTGTGAACAGAGAGAGAGGGGGGTACCACTGTCCATGCCTTGAGTCCATCCTTCACCCTGAATCTCCCCTTGAGAGCCCTCATTGTCTCCTTCTGGACTCCTGGGCTGGTCCTACCCTTGGGGTCATGTGCACCTGATAGGAAGAGACAATGGCCCATGCTGAATTTCCATTTGGTAGCTCTTCCCATTAGGGCATGCCAGCCATGGAGGATGGGCACTGCCTCTGTCTGGGGTTGTGTGGGAAATAGATGTGGTCTGACAAGGTCTTGGGTTTATGCTTCCATCTGTTTAGTGCAATGGGCCTGGCCTGGTGTGTGCCTAGGCAGTAACTCCACTCTCTCTACCTAGATGTGGACGAGTGTCGTGCACACAATGGTGGTTGCCAGCATAGGTGTGTGAATACCCCTGGCTCTTACCTCTGTGAGTGCAAACCTGGCTTCCGGCTCCACACAGACGGCAGGACCTGCCTAGGTAAGTGGCCCCTGCTTTGGGCTCTGAGCCTCTGATGACCCTCACTCTCCAGAGTGTACTCAGGGCTGGGAAGGGGCTGAGGGGAGCCTGAGTGGGCTGGCATTGGACTATGCACTCAGCAGCTTCTTCCCGTGGAGTATGGCTGCCTGGGAGTCCTGAACACACCCTGCAGGGTGGTACTGCTCCCTCCCCGCTCAGGTAAGGAGGCTGAGGTTTGGATGGGTAAAAAAGTGCATTCCAGGTCTCTGCTCATGCAGGTCCCTGTGTCCCCAGCCTGTGTATGCTCTGCAACTCTGCTGAGTCTTATTGAGAGACTGAGACCATCTGCAGTGGTTGATCAATCAACAGGGACCCAGGCCTAGCTGGGCTGCCACCAAGACATGGGGTGGGAGACTCCTCGGGCTGCTCTTGGGTGGTAGGGAGGCAGGCTGAGCCTTGGCCCTGTCAACAGAAAGCATTTCTTGGTCTGCAGAACAGGGCTTCTCTGGAAGCCTGAGGATGTGAGCTGCAAGAACGGCAAGGGAGAATCAGAAAGCGGGCCCCTGGCCCCTGGCTGTCTGTAGGATTTCTGCTATGAGGGAAGGGTTTAGTGGTCTCCTGAGAACACAGAGCCTCTGGCAGCTCAGCTAAAGAGACATCCAGGGTCAGGCAGAGGAAGCTGGTAAGAACAGTTAGCAGCCGTCCACTTCATAGTGCACCCTGGAGACTCTGTTGATCCCAACTCTGCTTCTATGTTGTTCTTGGGGGAAGGTACCCCTACTTTCTACTTTGGAGATCCAGACAGCTTGGGCCAGTTCTGAGCAGCCTGGCTTTGGCTGCTATATGGCTGGCAATGTGCCAGCCCTGGGGGGGTTGCACCCCGTACACACATGTTCCAGCCTTTGTCCGCTCTGCTGCAGGAGCCCGGCAGCTGCCCGAGTGAGAAGTAGAAGCAGATGCAGGAATGTTGCCATGTGTTCCAGGGTAGCTGTGATAGCGGAGCCCAGCGACTGCCTGCTGGCCTTTCTGGGAGTCTGTGGCTTGGGCTCTTTAGTCTTGGGCACCCTTGTCAGGCAGGATGCTCTTTAAAGAAAGGTGACGCTGGAGATTGGTGTGAGGGGTGACCCCTGCTGCGGGCTCCCTGTTGGCTTCAGGACTAGGACACTCGTTCCCTTGTGTTTCTTCTCACTGTCTCCATTGATAGTGGCCCTCACTGAGATGCTCTGCAATGATAGAGGGCCAGGACGGGATGTACCATTAACAGTCAGACAGTAGGGATGCTTCTTAGACCCAGAGTGGCCGGTGGTACTGCTCAGAGGAGCCTTAAGCTGCTGGCCTCAGGAAGCTCAGGAGGGATATCCCTTTACCCTGCCCTGGTCCTGGGCCCACACTACCCATTGCTATGCTGGAGACAGACATGCTAGATTCTGCACTTGTGGGGCCCCAGAAGGATGGACTCATGGCATGTGTTTATTGTGAATTGTCTGCATTGCTCCGGTGGCTGTCCCCGCAACACTGTAAGTGGGTGGGTTCTCAGGGTTTCTGACCCCTCCCACTTGAGAGTTGTCTTGCTGGACATTGGTCGGACATGCAGAGCAGTGATCAGATTCTCTCTCTCTCTCCCTCTCCCGGACTCTATGGAGGATCCAACACAGGCCATGCCACATACTCACCTCCAAGGTCAAGTAGACCAGGATAGGGAATGTGTAAGTTCTGCCACTGGTATATTCATATTCTCTCTCTCTCTCTCTCTCTCTCTCTCTCTCTCTCTCTCTCTCTCTCTCTCTCTCTCTCTCCCTTCTCTCCCAAGGTCTCATGTAGCAAAGACTGTCTTGAACTTACTGTGTAGCCAAAGCTGCACTAAACTTCTGTTCCTCAAGCTTTCGCCTCCCAAGCATCAGGATTATAGGCATGTGCCACCACACCCTGCTCCAAATGGTCTAAGCATAGTAATAAAACACAGAAAGAGTTCCATTTCCATTCTCTTTTTAAATTTTGTTTTTATTATGTGTATGAGTATTTGTTTGCCTGTATGTATGTGTGTGCACTATGCGTGTGTCTGGTGCCTGTCAAAGCCAGAAGAGGGGGTTGGATCCCCTGGACCTGGAGTTAACAGATGGTTGTGCACTGCTGTTTGGATGCTGGGAACCAAATCCAGGTCCTCTGTAAGAGCAGTCAGTGCTTTTAACCACTGAGCCTTCCCCTGCTCTTAAAAATGTATATTTTAAGAAGGACTTTGCCGTTAACCCACTATAGTAAGAACATGTCTCCTGTCCTGGCTACCACTCCAACAGGAACAGAGGGGCCCCACCCATGGCTTGGGATGTACTCCTGGGGTGCTCTGTCCTCTGTCTCATTTCTGGGGTGATGACTTGGGGAGGGCTTGGGGGAGGGGTGCAGCCAGGCCTGAGGCCATTCTAGCTTTCTGTGCTTGGGCCAGGTCCAGTTCCTTCTTTCCCTGGCCATGGAAAGTAGGGCCTGCCCAGGATGGTGGTTTGGCTGAGGGTCCAGGACTGTCATTCCTACTTTCCCGTGACATTTTGCAGAGCTCCAGAGTGGAATAGCCCCAGGGTGTCATAACACTGCAAGGGGAGCCCTCCCCCTCCCTGTGGCTGGGGTGCTCTCAGTAGCATATGCCTATCCAGTAGCTTTTAGTATGACCTAGGCCCTGGCCTTGTATATGGCTGTTTCCTTGTGTCCTCTGGGTTGAAGGACAAGTGGAGCCAGTCTGAGGGACTGTGGTTGTCACTGGCTTAGCCCCGGGGCACAGGTGGCCTCTTCTCTCTTCATCTCACACCTGTTGGCTCAGGATGGACACCCTTGGAGATGGCTCTGCTGCCAACACACGCCGGTGGTGATCCCACTGCAGAGTCACATGGATCCTGGTGTGCACATAACTAGAGGAAGGCTACCCAGCCCTGCTCTTGGCCTGTCCCTGCCTGTGTGTATCTGTGGCCTTGGCAGAACCTTCTCTCCCCAGGCATCAGGACAGTAAAGGGCTTTACAAGCCCCAGTCTGCCCCCAAGGCTCCTTCCTGAAGAAGATGCCTCAAGGAAGGTTGTTTGGGACCTGGAGGCTGCTGCTGGCAGCATCCTGGGTCTGGGGCCGAAGCCACAGGCAGCTCAAATGTGCAGACTGAGAGGCTCTTCTGCAAAACTCATCCCCATGGAGCCGCAGATGCAGCTCTGCCCATGTTTCCCAGTCCTTCCCAAACCTGGCAGGGGTTACAGTTGCACAAGGGGTCAGCTTCCCAGCCTTGAGAAGCCCGAGGAAGCCTGGCCTGAGTGGAGCCAGTGGGAGAGGTGGGAAGAGAGCAGCTGCTGTGGTCAGTCTCTTTCTCTGTCTCACGACCCCACCCTGGGCTCTTCACGGGGCAGGGACTGCTTCTGCTTGGCCTTGGGGGAGCAGGCTGAGATGAAACAAGGGTACTGATGTTCAGCAGGCCATACTAGGTGTCTCGTCCCAACCCAGAGTTTCCAGGGAAGAGGGCACAAGCCCTGAGCTGGGTACAGAACCCAGCGGGAACAGTTAGGCAGTCGCACTGGGCATGCAGGGAGATGGCATGCCACAGGGGCAGGGTTGGTGAGTGTGGCAATGCCGGCCTGAAGTGGGGGTGGGGAGGGTGGGAGGGGCCGGTCCTGCTGTCCCTGGGTCGGCTGCAGTGTCACCAAGGCCCAACATTGGCTCTGTGGTGGGGTAATCCTCCTTACAGGACGTATGCTCTGGAGGAAGGAAGCTGGGCAGTTCTTGTGAGGATGCAGCTGGGCACTAAGGCTTGGCAGTAGAAACCTGCCCAGGGTTGAGGGTGTGGTGTGAAAGATGTGAGCTGTGAGCCCAGACGTTGCCGGTATGTATGTATGTATGTATGCATGTATGTATGCATGTATGCATGGTGTGATGAGTCCCTCTGTGCTGCCATCTGCTCCTGCCCCATCTAAGAGCTTCCTAGGACAGGACAGACTGCTCTGGCCACTGACCATACATGGTGGGGGCTCTCAGCACCCAGAAGCCACATCAGTTTAAGGACAACAGCGATAACCCTGTGACACCACCCTCCAGCTAGCCTCAAACCACCGAGCTGGTCTGAGGGCTGCATGAAAGCAGCTGATGGACGTGGCTTGACTGATGGTAGGCAGACCTGGTTCTTGTATAGTCCGTGCTGATGAGTTCAGGGGCTGGAGGCTGGAGCCTAGAGCCACCCCAAGACCCAGTGTGCCCGTCCCATCCCCCCACTCCACATGCTGCCAACTGCATGACACTCATGCTCCCAGGCTCTGAGGCCATGGCTTAGGACCTAAGTGTTCCTATAATACAGGTGCTGCCTTCTGAGACCGGGCTAGTGCCCTTTTGGGGGTGTCATCCATCCAAGAATGTTGTACAGGTTGGCACAAGTAGCCCTCTGTCTTGTAGGAAATGTATTTTCTATGAGGTCCAGGCTCTTCCTCCACAAAACCTGCTCCTTCCTCTGAGCTTTGCATCTCACACCCCACCCTGAGTAGTGTGACTCCTGCTGGTTGTGAGTGGAGTCACAGCCCAGCTAGGTTGGAATTCCAAACTCTTGGATTTGCCAATTGGTCAGTGCTGGCTGCCCTGACAAAACACCACATGGGCTTAAGCAACAGGGTTTTATTTTTCACATAGCTGTAAGTCCAAAAGCAAAGTGCCAGCCTTTCTGGTCCCTGATGAAATCAGAGCCCCTCTGTGTGACCACTCCTGACCTTAGTTAAAGCAGAAAGTCTGAACATTTTCATATCAGAGGGCTTCGGCTTGTGAGTAGGGGAAGGGTGCAGGGACACACACATACATGAAGACTCTAATATAGAGTGTCACCCAACTATAGTCACTTGTGTCTGATCTGGAAGTGGGCGGAGACCTACGTGAGACCTTGGAAATTGTAGGATGGGCTAGGGAGCAGGACTATTGGGTCCTGCAGGATTGTACATGGATCACAGATCCCTGCTGAGTTGGGGTGAAGTGGAAAATGGGGTGTGTTGTGGAGCCAGACCTATCCAGCCCTGTTGCCTAGGCTGGCCTGGTGTTCCTAACCCTCCTGCCTTTATCCCCAGAACTGTGATTCCAAGTGTGTCACCACCCTGGCTGAGGCTCTTGCTTGTGAGTATGTACTGCCTGCAGGGAGGCCAGTCCCTGACCTCTGCTCCAAAGGTCACTCAGCTTTAGTCATATCTGACCTCGGGCCTGATTTCTAGAACCATAACCAGATGTGAGCTTCTGGCCTTGGCCCTGGCAGAAGTCCCCAGAGCGAGTGTCCTGCAGCTGGGCCTCAGTAACTTGAGGGGCCTGGAGATGTCTCCACCAGCCCTGAGGCCCAGGCACACAGACCCTGGCCATTCCTGGAGCTGTGCAGCCCAGCACAGAGAAAAGACAATCTGTCTGGCTCAGATTTCCAGGAATCCACAAAGGATGTGCTGGGTGATGCTGGCCTGTCTCCCTGGTGTGCACAGCTTGGGAGCATCTGTGAAGTCACAGTTCTGTGGATCAGAGGACAGGGATGATTCTGAGGGTGTGAGGCTGCACTGAAATTGCAGGTCTTTAATGCCAGCCCATGGTGGACTCATTCATGGGCTGCTTTGCCCATGACCAGATTAGAAATGAAATACCTTCCCTCCTGGTTGGTGGTGCTTCCTGCCGAGGTACCGAGACATCGTGCCCCTCTGTGCCTGCCTGGTCCTGCCAGAATGGACTTCTGGTTTCTATTACATGTCCTGAGTAGGGATGCAGTTGGTGTGGTGAGCACAAGTAAACAGAGCCCCCAGGAATGTGGGGCCAGCTGAGGCCATGTGCATGGGCGCCCAGATGCCTCTGGAGGGAGAGCTGGTGTCTGAACAGCTGACTCAGGTGAGACCAGCCAGGCCTGGGATCAGCATGGCTTCCATCCAATGTAGGGGTCAGAGCAGAGCTGGGGAAGGCTTCAGGTTGGCAGGCTTTCCTCAGTTCTGTAGGAAATTGCTATGGCTTCTCCCTTGATGCATAATGCTGGGGGCCCTGGGTGGCCAGGAGTTTGGTCACTGCCTCCCCACGGCTGGCTTTGCCCCAGAGAAGGGGGCTTTCACGTGCTCTTCTGGCTGTGCTTCATGTGAGAAGAGACCTGTTTCATGAGCAATGTGGCCTTTAAGCAAGCTTGCTTTGAAGGAAGCCCAGCCTTCTGAGAGCCCTGAGGCAGCTCACAAGACCCATGCCGCTGCCAGCACCCAGGCCTTGCAGTGCCGTCCTCGGTGGTACCAATCCCCCATTCCCAGGCAGTAATTAACGACTTCTCCAAACTGAGCCACAGACAGTACTGCTTAAAGTTGACAGTGTTCCCATATCCAGGCAGCATCTTAGGGTACAGCCTGGCCCCCAGAGTGCTTTAGTAATGACTCTTAGGTTTGCTGACACAGCTCTGAGCACAGGCTTGCAGGCAGACAGCCTTACCTCCCCGGCCAGGGGCAGCATTCTTGTGGCTTCCCTCCAGAGCTCAGGGCTAACTTCCTTTAACCACAAGGCCATTGCCAGAGACTCGATTGTAACCAAATCCATGCCAGGAGCTGGCTGCTATTGCTAGTGAAGCTCAGTGTCCATCCTGACTGCCTTGCCATGAAAAGCATCTTCCCCGTCTCCACAGGCCAGCTGGGGGGTACAACTGATTTCTTCCATAGAGTACGCAGGCACTACCAGGCCAGGCAGAATCTCTCTTCCATGCCCTGTAGCAGTTCAACCAGAAAGGACAGGGTACTGCCCTTTGGGATATGGTCTCTCTGATGACCGATGGCTGCTGGGAAGAGTGGACACTCTGATAGGGTGTGAGGTGTGGCCTGTCCTGGGGTAGAAAGAATTTGCTCTGATTTGCCTCAGGAACTGGTAGCCAGGCCTTTGGGCTGAGGTGGCCATTCATAGAGGCTCCATACCTGCCCTTCTGTCCTGGCCTGAGGACCATGGTGGTAGGGTGGATCTCACCATGCCTCCTAGCCTGCTGTCAGGGAATGAGCCAGCTGCTTCTCAACAGCCTCCCGGTGTTGTATGTCTTGTGCTGGGGGGATGCTGGACTTGTGTCGAGGTGGACTGATCTGCCTTGTATCCAGCCCCTGGGTGGTGAGGGTTCATGTGGGAAGCCATCATTATCAGTCCTTCTCAAGTGATATTGAGACTCTGCCTTCTTGGCCTGATCGAAGCTCTTCATGTCCTTAGCCATCAGCTCTTGCACTCTGGGAAATGGTGGCTGCCAGCATCAGTGTGTCCAGCTCACAGTGACACAGCACCGCTGTCAGTGCCGGCCCCAGTACCAGCTGCAGGAGGATGGCAGGCGCTGTGTGCGTAAGTATTGTGGAGCTGTGTGCGCGTGCTCGTGCGTGTGCACATGTGTTGGGGGGCGGGGCAGGACCCAGGGAAGAGCCTAGTGCAGTGATAACCTGGTGGTGGGAGGGAGAGAGGCCTGGTCTGTTGTGGACCTGAGGTGCAGGAATGGTGAGCACTGTTGGATGGCATGTCCTCAGGGCAGGAAGTTCAGGATGGAGACAGTACCCCTCATCCCTAGGTATCCATCTGAGGTTTGGGCAGAGGAGGTAGCCAGGTCAGTGTGTAGGACTTTGGGCTGCTTGCATATGAGAAAAGGACTTTGCTAAAGGAGTGTGTGGGGCAGGATCAGAGCCCCTCCTCCAGATGTGGAAATGGGACAGAGCAGGTGCTGAGACTCCCAGCAGAGTAGGAAGTAAGTGTAGATATGAAGGGGCCCAGGCCAGCCATGTGGGTGGAGAGGTATGGGATCTTAGGGTTGGGGGGGACACAGGGCTGAACGGGTTACAGAGCCAGGGGTGTTGTTATGGAACTCGGGGTCATAGGGCTGAGGGATACACAGGTGAGTTTCACAAGGCTGAGGGACTCACAGGGTGGAGGAGGAGCACAAGGCCCTGGAGGATCATAGGGTCGGATGATCACATGGGGTCCTTGGGTCAGAGGACTGGGGAGAAGGATTTGGGGCTTCTAGCCCTGGTGTCAGTTTCAACACCTTATCTCAAAGCAAGAACTCTGGGAGGAGCAGGCAAGGTTCACAGCCAGAGCTGACCTGGGCTGGCCACCTCCTTCCTGGCGAGGCCTTGCTTTCTGCCATAGTCCACGTTCCTTGAGAACCGTGACACTCACAAGTCATGGGTATTGGTGGGGTACTGACTCTGGTGTTTTGATTGAGCCTCAAGAGCTTGGCCTTGGCAATGGAGTCTTCTTGGGGGAACTCAGAGCTACCCACAAGTGGGGGGGGGACCACGGCACAGGCTGGAGCAGAGAGGGGTTCCTGTACTGAGGAGGCATCCTGCATCTGTCAGTCCCCCTTCCCCATCTCTTCTCTTTGCCTCCACCCCTCTGGCTCTGGTGTGCAGGGAGAAGCCCGTGTGCAGATGGCAATGGTGGCTGCATGCACGTATGCCAGGAGCTCCGAGGCCTTGCCCACTGTGGCTGCCACACAGGTTACCAGCTTGCTGCAGACCGCAAGGCCTGTGAAGGTAGGATGCTTTGCCTAGCCCAGCATCCCTGAGGCACCCTTCTGGGTGGGTCTTTGGGTGATCTAGGGTGCCACTCAGTCTCCTCTCCCTGATGGGGGTTATAGGGGGGAACAGACCCAAGGAGCAGTCTGCAACCCAGTCATGTTTCTGCAGAAGGGAGGGAACTCAGGTTTCTGTTTTAAACACATATCCTGTAGTGCCCACCTAGTACCTGATCCTTAGGACCCAGGAGAGGAGAGCAAGGGAGGGGACAAGGGACCACAGATAAACCCCAGGAAGTGTCCCAGTGAATCAGTGCTGGGCTTACTCAGGGCAAGTGTTGTCAAATGCATCATTAATTATAGGCTACAGTTTGGCATTGGTTCCCAGAATCCCTTCCTTCATCCTGCTGGTTGCTGTTGTACAGCGAGGCCAGGTCTGTGCTCACTATATCCCTAGCTGTGTGCTGTCCCGACTTCTCTGTAGATAGTAGGTCTGGGATGAGCAGCCTTGGGGGAAGTCTGCCCCTTGCCCAGTGACTTCACAGTGAGTGCAGTTCTCCTAGGGCTGTCAGAGAGGCAGTGGCCTCCCAAGATGTCATGCCAGATGCCCAGGTGTCTGCAGGATAGGGAACGTGGATAGCTACATACCCATCGGCACTAGGAAGTCATTACTGGTACAACAGAGAAGACCCCCTCTGGGCTCAACATGAGACACAATTTGTGTGAACTCCATCCCCAGGAATCTGTCAGGGTGTGCCTGGCAGGTGTTGGGCAGCATGATCTACACCAAGCTGTCCAAGCTATGAAGCCGCTAACGTGCCCAGGGATGTGGGGCCACCACCGCTTTTCCCACTGCTGAGAGCCTCTAAAAACCCTTTCTCTGTCTCTCCCTTTCAGATGTGGATGAATGTGCCGTGGGGCTGGCCCAGTGTGCTCACGGCTGCCTCAACACTCAGGGATCCTTTAAATGCGTGTGCCACGCAGGCTATGAGCTGGGTGCTGATGGCCGGCAGTGCTACCGTAAGCAGTCAGTGAGCAGTGGACTGGGGGGACTTGGGGTGCTAATGTGGTGCCCCAAGACCCTAAAGTCAGTTTCCGTTGGGCAGCTCTGGGTGTGGGTGCCCAGGGGCTGGTTAGGGAGGGCTGACCCTTGTCCCACATCCCGGCTGTCTGATGTCATCCCAGGAATTGAGATGGAGATTGTGAACAGCTGCGAGGCTGGCAATGGCGGCTGCTCACATGGCTGCAGTCACACTAGCACCGGACCCCTGTGCACCTGCCCTCATGGTTACGAGCTGGATGAAGACCAGAAGACCTGCATTGGTGCGAGCTAGTCCTTCCAGGGTGCCCTGCCCCTGCAGCCCCAGGACTCGCTGCTACACCCAGTTTTGGGCTTGTTTGTTTGGTGCTGCGACTGGGAAGTTTTCTCTCTCTGCTGCTCTGACTCCCTGGGCTCAGCAGGAGCTGCAGGAGAGCTGATGAGAGTCAGCAGTTCAACTCAATTCTGAGCGCTTGCCTTGACCTGCTGGGCTCTCCCCTGCCTGCCCCTTATAGCCATTGGGTGTGCATGTGCGCGCTCTCTCTCTCTCTCTCTCTCTCTCTCTCTCTCTCTCTCTCTCTCTCTCTCTCTCTCTCTCTCTCTCTGTGTGTGTGTGTGTGTGTGTGTGTGTGTGTGTGTGTGTGTATGTGTGAGAGAGAGAGAGAGATCATGTCCATGTAACTGTTCATGTGTGTGGTTGTGGGTATATACAATTGAATACAGGTATGTGAGAATGTGAGTTTGGGCAGGAGTGAATAACTGCAGATGTGCGTGATTTCTTCCAGGTATGTGAGACTCTGTGGCTGTATGCATGATTGTGTGTAGTATACAAGTGATTGTGTGCAGGTTCACATGTGGTCAGGTAGGATTGTGTATAGGCATGTACACAGGGTTGCATGGCTTGTTGCTGTGGGATTGTGGGAGGATATATGTGTGTCCATGGTGACAACAGGCTCCTGTATATACCCCACAGACATTGACGACTGTGCCAACTCTCCATGCTGCCAGCAGGTGTGTGCCAACACCCCTGGTGGGTATGAGTGCAGCTGCTATGCTGGCTACCGGCTCAACACTGACGGCTGTGGTTGTGAGGGTGAGCACATGCTACTCAGTAGTAGCTGGGTGATGAGGGGAGAAATATCAGGGTCAGCATGGAGGTGGGCATGCAGTTGGCCTGCTTCCTGCTCTGCTTGTGGACGCTGATTAAGTGCCTGCTGTGTGCTCATGCACACCCATACAATCCATCCTGACCACACAAACTTGCCTATGATCTCTTGCACACCACACACAAGTTGTACATGTAGCTAGCCAGTCTCACAGGTAGCCAGAAGCATGCACTTGTATACAGTCATGTACTTGTTAAATCACACACAGACCATTGCACCTCCATCCCTCCTGCCCTCTGGCCTGTAGTCACTGGCTCCCCTCATAGGGCTGGGGACATGCTCCTGCCTGTTCCTTAAATGACTCCCCTCGCAGATGCCCACTGTCCCTTCATTCTTGCGTGGAAAGACTTCTGGAGCAGGCACCATGGCTGGGGGTGGTGGTGAGGTTACCAGCTGCTTAGGGGGATGAGCACTTGACTTTGTACAGCCAGGTAGGCAGGGGTCTCCAGGCTGACCGTGGGAGCACGACCCCAGCAGCCCTGTTTGTCTGCAGATGTTGACGAGTGTGCCTCTGGTCACAGCGGCTGCGAGCATCACTGCTCTAATCTGGCTGGCTCCTTCCAGTGCTTCTGTGAGGCTGGATTCCGGTTGGACGAGGACCGGAGGGGCTGCACCCGTGAGCCTCCCCTAGGCACTGCCTTCTGGGTGTCTGATCCCGGTAGTTCACATGTCTGGCATGCTAGCTGGCTTACCGTCACCTCTGTGGGCCCCACGTGGTCCTGTTTCCTGCGGTAGGGGTGGGGCCAGCAGGCTGAGGGAAGGAGGTCGGTCGGGTAAGTGATCCATTGGGTAGGGCACAGTGTTACAGGGGGCCTAGGGCGTCCAGTTCCTGTACTGATGTGGTGAGAGAAGAGCCGAGACCTAAGGCGGTGGTGGTGTTGAGTAGAATACGTGGGCAGCAAAGGCTGAGAGGCCTGTGTGTCCTTCCCCAGCCCTAGAAGAGTCCGTGGTGGACCTGGATGGCCAGCTGCCCTTTGTGCGGCCCCTGCCCCACGTCGCAGTGCTGAGGGATGAGCTTTCACAACTCTTCCAGGATGACTATGGGGCTGAGGAGGCGGCGGCGGCAGAGTTGCGGGGAGAGCACACGCTCACTGAGAAGTTTGGTGAGGCACGAGCTTGGCTTCTTCAACCCTGGGGCATGGCAGCTTGCAGTCCTGGGCCGTGCTGCCCTACGATTCGGGGAGGCCCAAGGAGGGTCCACACCTCACAGTTTGTACAGCCCATTCAGGGCTGAACTGGCCCCCGGCTCCTAGGGTGGGGTTCCCATATCTCACCTTGGAACTTAGAGGCTAAGATGTCCCTTGTCCTCTCTTCTTTGGTCCAAGGGCCTGAGGCTAGGGGATCTAGCTCTGAAGTCTCTCTCCCCATCTTCCCTCAGTCTGCCTGGACCACTCCTTTGGCCATGACTGCAGCCTGACCTGTGATGACTGCAGGAACGGAGGGACATGCTTCCCGGGCCTGGATGGCTGTGACTGCCCAGAGGGCTGGACGGGGATCATCTGCAATGAGAGTGAGGCGCTGGTGGGGTCTAGGCAGTGAGCTTCAAGAGCTGTGAGCATCCGTTCTGTATGGTTCCTTCTACCTAGCTCTGGGGAGAAGAATCTGAGTATGTCCACCCTCCCATCTGTCCATCCATGTGCCACGCCCCCCATCTATCTACCTATCCATCGTCTATCCACCCACCAATCTATCCATCTCTCCACACACCCATGTACCAATCCATCTGTCCGTACATCCATCCATTCCATCCATTCATCATCTTATTATTCCTTCCCTCCCTTTGATAAGAGTCTACTGACTGTCCCCCGGCCCTTGTACTAGGCATGGTACTAGGATGTGGGGCATTCTGGGAACTGGCAGAGCAGGGTGTATGGTGCTCCTAGTCAGTCTCTAGGGATCCAATGACAAGCCAACAGATATCTAAGACTATCGGAGGTGTCTATGAAGGAGAGCTAGTAGGCAGACTTCTCTTGTACAGGTAGCTGGGACTATGAAACCATCTGATGGGAGCAGACCCTTGCTCAGGGATACACAACAATTTAGTAGCTGAAGCACTCTGGAAATGGAACTGTCCAGAGCCTTTCTTATCTCTCCCAAAGCCCCCTGACCCAAAAGGCATTAGACTCTTCTTCACACTGTGAGGATCATCTGAATGGGCCATCTGATTGAAAGGGCATTGGATGTCAGGATGTAGTCATTGATTAGTGATGTCTGCCATGAGTGTGGTTGGGGCCATGAGGCACAAATACCATATTGGCTGTTGTTTAAAACTGGTGCCTTTAATGCCAGGAGGACCACAGAGTTCTGCTGTTGGTAATCCTGGTGTTCCTGTCGTCCCTCCGTAGCTTGCCCTCCAGACACCTTCGGGAAGAATTGTAGCTCTCCCTGCATCTGTCAGAATGGTGGAACCTGTGACCCGGTGTCAGGAGCCTGCCGCTGTCCCCCGGGTGTCAGTGGAACCCACTGTGAGGACGGTGCGTGTAGCCCCTCTGGGAAATCTAGAGAAAGGGAAGCAATGTGGAACTTGGTGCAGACTCTTATCTCTCTGCCCCTAGGGCTTCACTAATGTTCCCGGGAGGGAACATTAGTTTTGACTTGTTGCTCACTTCCTGGGACTTACATATAGAAGGTCGAGACTCAGTTTGATGGGTGGAGACATGTTTGGAATGGATTCCCTGGGGAGGTGGTGAGTCCTTTGGGAATGTTCAAACAGAGCTGAGGATGGCCAGTTGGGATTTGTAGAAGGGATTCTCATCATTTGTAGAAAAGCTTCATGGGGTTATGCTTGACATTCTTATCTAGCTGTAGCTACAGCACTGTGGAGGAATTAGTTTGTGGGAATAAGCTTCTGCGGGGGGGGGGGGGGGGGGGGGGCTCTAGTATTTCAGTTCTACCACTTTAACTGCTCCTGCTGGAGTGAGAGGAGACTGGAAGAGCCATAGGTGTGACAGGCTCCAGGTGGCCTTAGGGACATTTGGCAGGTATAGGATCTGAATTTACATCACTTCCCAGAGACTTTTCTCCTGCGGTCTTGGGGGAGGGCCACCAGATTGCCCAGCAATGTATCAGTTACAGGTAAAGTAAAGGGGGCCTCTGGGGACAGACAGGCAGATTTTCAGGGGTGGAGACCTCATGGAACCCTTGTGTTGATTTCCCAGGCCCTGGGTGACCCTTACTTTGTGGCTCCATTCTTCCAGTCTCTGCCTGTGACCCTATATGACCATACCTCTTTGCTGCCTTCCTCTCTCTGTCTCAAATGCCACCTGCCTGTAAGCTAAGGACATTTGTTATTGGATTTGGGGGTCTTTGGTCATTGCGGGGTGGTCTTATCTCAAGATCCTGGAGATTGGGACAGGGCAGCTTTTGGGGTTTCATTTTCAACTGTCTATATCCCTTTCAGTAGGAGGGACATGGAACAAGAGGGAGGTATTTGGAGAAGGGCAGCCTTCCAGACTTGGGTGTAGTCCTGACCAGATGAGGCCTTTCAACCTCTTTCGGGTAGAGAGGTTGGGCTTAGCATTCTGTGTGGGTCATAAGTTGGGGCACTTAGGAGAGATTTTGCACCTCCCTAGGTGTGTGCTGATGAGTGTGTTCATCCTCCTTCCTTCACTGCTGGTTCTGAGGGACTGGCCATGACAACCAACAGGTGTCACCGGAAGGCTCAGCTTGTGCCCACCGGGCATGGCTGCCACTGTCCCTTGTCCCGGGCACTAGGCCTCTGAGTGTCTCCTCACCTGAGAACCATGTGTGGGCAGGCCAACTGTTCTCTGCAGTTCTCACTGAACTGTTCCCTACAGGCTGCCCCAAGGGCTTCTACGGCAAACATTGTCGTAAGAAATGCCACTGTGCTAACCGGGGCCGGTGCCACCGCCTCTACGGGGCCTGCCTCTGTGACCCAGGGCTCTATGGCCGCTTCTGCCATCTTGGTGAGTTCTGCTGTGTCTGTATGTGTGACTGGGACCATCCGCCTTGTGCTGAGTCTCACACTGTGTGGGAGCACTGTGATGGCCTCTGTGGATGGGTTGGCTTGAGGTTACCAGCTGGGGTCTGTATCACTCTGTGTTGGCCTCCAGGCCTCTGGTACACTGACCCTAGACTACTGTCACTCCTATCTCTCATCTGGTAATGGAGGAAGCAGGGTCAGACTTCCCAAGAAATGGTGGGATGCTGATCTTGGCTTGTGGAACAAAGCCAACTCCTTAGGTCCTGGCAGAGTCCCCATCTCTGGGTGCACAGACACTCAGGGAAGGAAGGGGCAGTGGATTAGCAGAGAAAGAGAGGGTGAAGGTAGTGTTTGACATTTGTAAAAGAGTTACTTGAGAGGAGAAAGCTAGAATTGGCCCAGCTAGAAAGTAGTATGATCCAGGGACAGCTCTTCAGCTGTGTAGACCTTGGTTCTTAGCCCTAGGTCTCCAGACCACGAGCAGATGTGGTCATTCCTAGAATGCTCTGGGAGGGGGCTCAGCTACAGCAAGCCCGCCAGGGCCACCCTTGCTGCCTCGGGCTGACTGGGGTTAGTGTAGTGGGCAGGCCCCTTATGGTGCTTTGTCTGCAGCCTGCCCTCCCTGGGCCTTTGGGCCGGGCTGTTCCGAGGATTGCCGCTGTGAGCAGTCACACACGCGGTCTTGTAACCCGAGGGACGGCAGCTGCTCCTGCAAGCCTGGCTTCCAGGGGGAGCACTGCCAGTCAGGTGAGTCTCTTGGGGAGAGGGAGATCCCTGGGCTACTGAGAACCTCACCTCTATCTTACATTTCTGTCTTGCTTCTCACTCTGTAGAGTGTGAGCCAGGCTTCTTTGGGCCTGGCTGCAGACACCATTGCACCTGCCCATCGGGTGTGGCCTGTAACCCTGTGAGTGGCGAGTGTCCCACGCAGTGTCCTCCTGGCTACCACGGGGAGGACTGTGGCCAAGGTGAGTGGCTGTCCCTTGGGGTTCCAGTGATTGGGGTTCCTTGTACTGGGGAACTGCAAACATATGCACAGCTGGAAGCTGCAGATTCGGAGCCTGGGTGTAAATGGCCCCTTTATCTACTGTCATCTTGGTGGTACTGTGGGTCCTGGACTGTCTCAGAGGTGCTCAGAGGAGGAACTGGTCTGTCTTCCTGGTCCAGACCAGAGAAGCAGCCAGTACCTCCGTGGGACGCCTCACGTCACTGAAGGTCCTGGGAGAGCTTTATGCTGGATGGGGAAGATGGATGAGAAGGGAACAGGAGGAGCAGGTGTGAGAAGGAGCAGGGTGGCTGCCGGGGAAGGATGTTTTGGGGAGTCCTAGTCTCACACTGGGGTCTTGTAGTTAGGTGTGTATGAATGAGGACAAAGCCTAGACGCTCTTAATGACTCGACAGGTAGAAGAATGGGCCTCAAGACTGCTGAGGGGTAGATTAGTGACATGGGGCTTTAGGTGTCCCTGGGAGACCTGAGGCAAGACTGCAGAGCAGGTGACTTGGTAAATCACACCCTCATTTGTTGGCAGCCCGGCATATATGGGACTGGGACCTTGACCTAGAGGACCAGAGAGGGAGGATGAGGGGCTGTGGCCTATACCAGCAGGGGACATGTGACTAGGTGCCATGTACTGTGACCCTTGATGTCAGGATCTAACCTGTGTAACTTGTGGAATGGCAGGCGGGACACTCAAACACTCGGCTCATGACCAGGAGAGGATACACCCACGTGGTCACAGATCCTTGAGGAAGGGGCAAGGCCCTTGCTGTTTCTGTTGTGGTCAATACAGCTGCTGCCAACAGGTTGGAGAGGTTTGGCCCCTCTTGGCATAGCACTTGCTGTGTATACCCATTGGTCAGATGAGAAGGGCGCTTCAGGGCCCGAGTGTGCCCATTTTAGGGTGGGCAAGGATAGAGAGGAATGCAGGAGCACCAGCCATGCCCTCCTTTCCCTCTCTAGGGGAGAAAAGCAGAAAAGTCCCCAGCACCACCCAGCCAGGGACAGAGGTCAGCTGGGCAGAGCCAGCCAAGCTGGTCATCTGTGGGGTGAGGCCTGGAAAGGGCTCTCAGGTCTCGTTGGCAGGAGAGAATATTTAGGGCTCCCAACTCAGTCTAGAGTCCCCAGACCTGACCTGCTCTTAGGAATCTGTGGCCCCAGGCTGTTCACCAGCTCCGAGTGTCCCTCTTTCCATCCATACAGGCATCCAGGGAGTGGACAGGACTGAGCCTCCTAACAGAGCCACCCAGAACATGCACACACACATACACCCATGTGTCAGTGTAGACAGACACTTGTAGCTCACCTTCCTCCCCAAGCCTATGTCTTCCTTTTCCACATTCTATGCTGCTTGCCAGGCCCAGTGAGGCAGCTATGCAGGGGAGCCTTCTTCCCACCAGTCCTGGGGTCTGCCCCCTGTGCTGAAAGGAAAAGGAACCCCCCCTTTTCCTCTCTGTACTTTATTAAGGCCTCCAGTGCCCCCAAGGACAGACCACAGGAAATGACATACATACTTTTACAGAAATGGCTCCCCTTGTTATTAGGTCTGGAAACTATTACTGCCCTAAGCACAAGTCCATGGCATGCTCAGTTAGTGGGGAGAACTCCTGAGGCCTTGAGGGACCACTTCACCAGCAACGTTGGGCTCTCTCCCTGGTTTGTGCTATATGGTTGTCTCTGTGGGTGCATGCGTGAGTGTGTGTGTGTGTGTGTGTGTGTGTGTGTGTGTGCGCGCGCGTGTGCGTGTGTGTGCGCGTGCGCGTGTGTGTGCGTGCGCGCATGCCTGCCTGCATGGGTGCTATGGTCAGGCACCTAAAGCATGCACATGTGCTGTGTCTGTTCCCTGGTGAGTGGCCGCCTGCCTGACGTACCGCTGTATCAAGCCTGCTGTTTCATTCCAGCAACCGGCAGAGTAGGCAGATGCTAGGCAGGCAGGAATCCTTCTGTGCTTCCTAAGTTCTGCCCCCAGTCTCATTCTCCGTTCTCCCCAGGCCCTGAGAGGAAGCACAGAGGTGCTTTACCAAGTGAGGCCACTCAGGGCTTTCCGGTATCCAGGGCTGTTGCAGGTACCAGGGAATGGCCATATGCATTCTTGAGGCCCTGCCTTGGACCATTCCTGTCCAGGACACCCTAATTCCCACACTGCTGTATTCCTTGGTATAACTTGAGTTTCAGAATATGGAGGGTCCCAGACCTCTGGGGTCCTTCCTTACTCTTTGTAGGGACCAGTTACCAGTCTTTCCCACCACACTCCTTCATTCTGCCAGCAGATGGCTACAGCTTTGGTGCTGAGGAGCTGGGTATGAAGTCGAGGGTATAGACTGGCACACCTTGGTTAAACTGGCTAGTACAGGCCCCCTGAATGGACCATCCTGCTCCTGGGAGCTCTCCAGGGTCCTGGATGGCCATAGCTTCCCCTTGACAGGTTGCCTGGTCCTCTGGCAGCCCTGCCTCTGCCTCTTCCTATGCCCCAGACTGACCTCTCACAACTCTCACCCTGCTAAATCCCTGTTCCCATAATCTGTCCTGGTCTCCCTGGGACTCCAGATGAAACTCCTAGCCTTGACAACTGCACACAGAGTGACTGAAGCCACCTGCTCTCACCTGCAGAGTGCCCAGTAGGAACATTTGGTGTGAACTGCTCAGGTTCCTGCTCCTGTGTGGGGGCCCCCTGCCATCGGGTCACAGGACAGTGTCTGTGCCCACCAGGGAAGACTGGGGAGGACTGTGGAGCAGGTGAGTGACAGCTGCAGGGCCCCAGGAGCCCCAGCCCTGGGCTGTGTCTGAGAATACCATCCTGGACCACATTTAGGGACCCTTGATCCCAGTCCAAGCTTTATTTGGGGGACCCCGATCTGGACTACATTTAAGAGCCCCTGATCTGAGATCTGGTCTCCCTGGGAACCTCACCATAGACCATTTTGGAAGCTTAGCCCTGACCATGCAGTGCTAGTCTCCTTTATAGTAGCTTCGGGGACTCATGCTGGAACAGGCTGGGGTATGGAGGGTGTCTGCAGCTGCCCAGCAAGCCTTGGCCCTGCGCTGTGACCTCCTGTACCATCAGCTCCCTGCATGGTGTATTTGTCTCCCTAGCAGGCTCCTTATTTTGCCATTGAACTGTCCCTGAGGTTGGGTTTACTTATCTATGGGTGGGTGCCCTGCAGCCCTGAGGTTCTGAAGCCTGCCTCTCTCCCTGGCAATCTTATATGGAAACGGTGGTCCCTTCTCTGGATTGTGGCAAGAGGGACCTCAGTGATGTGTCAGGCACACACTAGTGTGCCAACTAGGGGACTAGGGAGAGAATAACTGACCCTGGGAGTGGGCTCTAGATTGTCCCGAGGGCCGTTGGGGGCTTGGCTGTCAGGAGATCTGCCCTGCATGTGAACATGGTGCCAACTGCGACCCTGAGACTGGAGCCTGCCTGTGCCTCCCTGGCTTTGTTGGCAGCCGCTGCCAGGATGGTGAGTGTGGCTGGTGTCTGACCTCTGCCTGCAGCCCTGGGTGGGCACACCAGGCTGCCATGCTCACCCTCTTTACCACCAACAGCTTGCCCAGCAGGCTGGTTTGGAACCGGCTGCCAGATGAGGTGTGCTTGTGCCAATGACGGACACTGCCACCCAGCCACTGGACGCTGTAGCTGCGCCCCTGGGTGGACTGGCCTCAGCTGTCAGAGAGGTATGTGGGTCCTTTGCCTGTCCTTCATCCACTGGTCCCTCCCTTGCCCCTGTCCCAAGATGCCCTGAGTTCCGACCTGGCTGTGGAGCTCACCCAAGATGACTCTGAGCTCTGTTGCAGCCTGTGACAATGCACATTGGGGGCCCGATTGCATCCACCCTTGCAACTGCAGTGCAGGCCGTGGGAGCTGTGATGCCATCAGTGGCCTGTGCCTGTGTGAGGCTGGCTATGAAGGTCCCCAGTGTGAGCAGTGTGAGTACTGGCCTGGCACTTGTACCTCTCTGTCAGGGTGCACACAGATGTGCACATGCATATGACCACATACACAAGAACACTTGCATATGCACATACGCGTGTACACATTTACCTGAGTATTCTAGTGCATATATACCATACATGCACAGGTACTGTCTCCCACCTGTCAGTGGCAGACTTAAGGCTCACCTGGAGTAGCAGATGGGGAGCTGGGGCTGTCCCAGCCTGGGAGGAGAGGAGGGGTCCCTTGGCCCCTATATGTATACTTCCAAGGCTTGTGGATGGGCTGTGAGTGGGTCGGAATAGCTGGTTTTAGGGGCAGCCCTAGGTGAGATCCTATGTGGGCCCTGAAGATGAGGTCTGGGATTCTTACATCCCATCCGAGGAAAGGGTAGAAGTGTATGGTAAGGCCAGGTGTCCCCACTGTCGGGAGGGGAGGGGTTTCTTTGTCAGTCAGGCCTTTCCCCCTAGTCCTGGGTTCTGGCCAGACTCTCGGTATCTGAGCCAACCGTGGGCTGGCCTTTGTGTCTCAGTGTGTCGCCAGGGGTACTTTGGACCTAACTGTGAGCAGAAGTGCAAGTGTGAGCATGGGGCAACCTGTGACCATGTCAGTGGGGCCTGTACCTGCCCAGCCGGCTGGAGGGGAAGTTTCTGTGAGCACGGTAAGCTGGGGGCAGGCTGGGGTGTGAGGACGGTGAGCTGGGGGCAGGCTGGGGTGTGAGCATGGTGAGCTGGGGGCAGGCTGGGGTGTGAGCATGATGAGCTGGGTGCAGGCTGGGGTGTGAACATGGTTAGCTGGGGGCAGGCTGGGGTGTGAGCATGATGAGCTGGGAACAGGCTGGGGTGTGAGCATGGTGAGCTGGGGGCAGGCTGGGGTGTGAGCATGATGAGCTGGGAGCAGGCTGGGGTGTGAGGACGGTGAGCTGGGGGCAGGCTGGGGTGTGAGCATGGTAAGCTGGGTGCAGGCTGGGGTATGAGCATGGTTAGCTGGGGGCAGGCTGGGGTGTGAGCATGGTGAGCTGGGGGCAGGCTGGGGTGGGCCCTGAATGCAGGGCAGGGTCCTCTGGCCTCCGGGCCCCTTGTCAACGTCACTTGTGTCTGCAGCCTGTCCTGCTGGCTTCTTTGGGTTAGACTGTGGCAGTGCCTGCAACTGCTCTGCTGGGGCCTCATGTGATGCTGTGACCGGCTCCTGCATCTGCCCAGCTGGCCGCTGGGGCCCACACTGTGCCCAGGGTATGTAAGGGCCTCCGCCTGGGTACTGCAGGAGCATGGGTTCTTCGTGTGGGGAACACCCCTGGGGCCCCTTCCTGGCATTCAACTGAGGGCACAGCTCTGCCCCTGAGACCCCAAGCATCCGTCCCTTTGTGGCTGCCCTGCTGAGCGGTGGCCCCGAGACGCTGGCACCTTTGCTCAGCTCCCTGGCATGTCCTGCTGTAGTCTCTGGCTACGTCCCTGATGGCTCCTCTCCCCTTACAGCTTGCCCGTCCCTCACCTATGGGCTTAACTGCAGTCAAGTTTGTACCTGTTTCAATGGGGCCTCCTGTGACCCTGTCCATGGGCAATGCCACTGTGCCCCTGGCTGGATGGGACTCGCCTGCCTGCAGGGTAAGCCCTGCCCAGGAGTTCAGGGTCCATCTTGGATAATGGCCTCTCCGTGGGCCCAAGGAGGGATGGTGTTCATGGAATGCCAGGGTAGGAGCAGGGCTCGCCTGTCAGCATGGCCTTTTGGGGAAGTTGGGAGGGAGCTTGACTATGTGGCCTTTAGTGTCATGCCCCTAAGGCCAGGTTGGTGGGTCCAGGACAGGCCTGGGCTTGGGCATCATAAAACCAGCCCTGATAAGATTCCGACTTGAAAGTCAGGTTGGGCTTTGGGGGTGTGTGGAAACATAGAACTCCAAAGCTCTCTGCTGGCTGGGTGCTGAGGCTTGCTTCTCCTTTCTGGGCCCCAGCCTGCCCCACTGGGCTGTACGGCAAGAACTGTCAGCACTCCTGTCTCTGCCGAAATGGAGGGAGCTGTGACCCCATCTTGGGCCAGTGCACGTGCCCAGAGGGCTGGACCGGCTTGGCCTGTGAGAAAGGTGAGCTGGCTGGGTAGTAGACATGCCCTCAGGCCTAGGAAGACTCCCTGTTGAGGGGGGCAGCACCCTGGGGTGGGCGGTGGTATCTCGCCTCAGGTGTGGGAAGGTTGGGCTAGTGTCTCTTGGACAGAGCCCTAGCTCAGAAAGTCAGACCCTCCCTCCCAATCCCTGCTTTTTCAGAGTGCCTTCCTGGACACTACGGAGCTGGCTGTCAGCTTAGCTGCAATTGCCTTAATGGGGGCATGTGCGACCCACTCACGGGCCACTGCCTCTGCCCAGCTGGCTGGACTGGGGACAAGTGTCAGAGCCGTGAGTGGGTTCTGGGAAGCTGGGAGGTTCTGCCAAGGGTGACCCAGTTTTACTCCATGCTGAAGATACGGGCAGGCCTGGTTCGCACCAACGTGACCCAATGTGGCCCACTGTTAAATGGGTTCAGGGCCTCCGGGCTGGTAGGCTGGTTTGCTTCTATTTTGGAGAGAGGGGTGTGCCTCATCTCAAGGCTTCAGAGAGAAAGCCTTGGTCTCTGGACTTGAAGCCTGTACTGCCCAGGGCTCCATGACTGCAGGATGCTGCCCAGGCTGTGGCTTTTGTGCCCATGGTCCTTGTTCACCCCTCCAGGCTTTGAACCCCCTCAGAGTCTGGACAAGTGGACACTGGGCTGGACACTGCCTGGCTCATCCTCATTCTAACCTTACTGGGTCTTCTGTTCACTGGCTCCCCTTCCACATAGGCACTGTCATTTGCAGACCCTGCCTAGAGAGCCCCTTGCTCAGCCCCAAGCCTGGGGCTGCTGATGCTGGTAGGCTGAGTTGGGATCCTCAGGGTGATCCAGTGACTCTTCAAAGCTTCTGGTCCCAGCCTCCACTTTTCCCTCAACTTTCAGGGCGAAGGCCCTGGGGCTGTGATTTCTAGCTTTCCTGTCTGTCTCTTACACTACAGCCTGTGCCAAGGGCATGTTTGGGGTTCACTGTGAGGAGCATTGTACCTGCCGGAGAGGTGCCACCTGCCACCATGTCACGGGGGCCTGCCTCTGTCCCCCAGGATGGAGGGGCTCACACTGTGAGGATGGTGAGCACAGACAGTAGTGCCTGGATCCAGTTGCCGGGAGGGAGCTGGCCCTGCACAGCCACCTCGGTTCCCCACTGCCCCCTTCCAGGAAAGCCTACCTAATTCTACCCTTCCTGCAGCCTGTCCATATGGCTGGTTTGGAGAGGCCTGTGCCCAGCATTGCCACTGCCCACCTGGTGCCTCCTGCCACCATGTTACTGGGGAGTGCCATTGTCCACCTGGCTTCACTGGACCTGGCTGCGAGCAGGGTAAGTGCTCTCCCTAACATCTGCTTTGTGGACAAGGACAACTGGGGGATTCCCGAGGGCAAGGCCAGGGCTGACCCTACCCAACTTATACCCAGCCTGCCAGCCTGGCACCTTTGGAAAGGACTGTGGGCACCTCTGCCAATGTCCTGGTGAGACCTGGGCCTGCCACCCTGCTTCAGGGGCCTGCGTATGTGCTGCTGGTTACCATGGCACTGACTGTCGGCAACGTGAGTGCTGCCCACTGCCTCAGGGGACCTGGGGTTCTGTCTGCCATTCTGGTGTGCAGGGTGGAGGGGAGCAGTTCACGGGGTTGCCATGCCATGTTCAGGGGTGCTGCATGTTTGACTCCAGCCCCCAGCGTATGTCACAGACCCTCTTTCTCCCTGCAGGATGCCCTCCTGGGCGCTATGGGCCAGGCTGTGCACAAGTTTGTAAGTGTCTCAATGGTGGTTCCTGCAACACAGCCACGGGAGCGTGCCACTGCCCTGCCGGGTTCCTCGGGGCCGACTGCAGCCTTGGTGAGGAGCCAGGTTGCAGGACTGGATGGCATATTGTTGAATTTCTGGGGGAAGGGGTGGGGCCCTGTTGGCCAGCCTATGAGAGGACAGCCCCTTGCCCACCTGCTTCCCTGATTCTTGGGTCCCCCATTGCTGAACTAAGGTAGAGTAGCAGTGAGGGTGTACTACCCTGGGGCATCAGTGTGATCCCAGAGGGCCCCAGCCTTCTGGCCAGCTCTGTCCCAGATATATGCCAAACACTGAGTACAATCCTGTGGCCAAGCGTCCTGCCCAGGAAAAGGCCTTTCTCCTGACTCACATGGGGACTTTCCTCATTTGAAATCCAGGTGGAGCTGGGGGTGTTGTGTCAATGTGTCTCTGTAGAGATGGCCTGGGACCCAGCTCCCAGCAGAGCCTTTTCATGGAGGGAGATGGAGGGCCCTGGGAATTGGTGGTGTGCCCCTGTGTCTCCTGTCCGGTCGTTGGGGTTGGTACAGCCTCTGGCAGAGCCCAGGTGGAAGCAACTACTTACCCGCCCTCTCCACAGCCTGCCCACAGGGTCGCTTCGGCCCCAGTTGTGCCCATGTGTGTGCATGTGGGCAAGGGGCGGCCTGTGACCCTGCGTCAGGGACTTGCATCTGTTCTCCTGGGAAGACTGGAGTCCACTGTGAACATGGTGAGTGTCTGCCAGGGTCTGGGCACATGCACAGTTCACCGACGTGTCATTGAGTTATGGAGCAGGCTGCTGGAGTGAGCCCAGCATGAGGGGGTGTGCCGTTCCCCAGGGACGTAGTCACACTCACAGCCGCTGGATTCTCCAGAAACCTTGGGACTGAGAAGCAGAATCCTCACCATGTGAACAGCCTGCCCTGCTGGCAAATAGGTCATCTCATGCCAACTCAGGCCCCGCCCACACAGGCCTCTTGAGACTTGGTTCACTCAGTGGCCTGTTCATGTCTCTGGCCAGTGGAACCCCCTCCTGAGCCTGGTACCTGCTTGCATCCTGGTGATGTCTTCTTGGAAGAGTATCTTCCTAGTCCTTTCTGCCAGGCGCAGGCCAGGGTACCCAGCAGACATAAGCTGGACTGGTCAGAAATGGGTGGACCAGGGGACAGTGGTCATGGCCCACACTTGTGTCAGTGTGCCCCGTCCCAAGGCCACGCACACAGCTCTTCCCTCAGACTCCACAAACGGCTGCTCTCGGAACCCTCGTTCTCAGCCTGGTGCTCCTAGGACTAGTGTAGTCAGAAGCCCAAGGCCAGGCTACAGCCAGGATGCCACCTTGTTCACTCCTAGGAAAGACAGCAGTGTGGGCAGGCAGTGTAAAGTGGTCAACAGGCCACCTCTGAGTCCACGTGTCTGGCCATGCCTGGCCTGGGGTCTCCAGGACACACATTCTCAGCCCTGAGGAAGTGTGATGGGAAGCCTTCCTGACTCCTTGCTGGCTGTGCAGGTGCTCACTGTCTCCTGAAGACTGTGGTCCGCTTTATCTTAGAGTGGACCTCAGACCAGACCTGGTGCTGGCTGCCCCAGATGCCAAGTGAAGAGTGGACGCTGTGAGGACAAAGGCCAGCACTAGGCAGCTCAGGAAGCGTTTGTTGAGTGAATGCCCATCTGTGTGGGGACATGTCCTAAGATCATGTCCAACCCTTGCTAGAGTTCTCAGCTGTGTCTACCCTCTGCCCCTAGGGTGTCCCCAGGATCGGTTTGGCAAGGACTGTGAGCTCAAGTGTGCCTGCAGAAATGGGGGTCTGTGTGATGTTACTAATGGCAGCTGTTCCTGTCCCCTGGGCTGGATGGGGCCACACTGCGAGCAGGGTGAGTTTATAGGGGCAGCTGGCCTGAAATGTCCACGCGAATATTGAGCAGGGAGGGCCTTGCTCTGGACCCTGAGAAGGATGCTGAGTTTAGGGGTCTGGGTGGCTGTGTAGGGGCACTGAGTCAGGTGCACTTAAGAAACCTTTGTCCGGGGGCTGGAGAGATGGCTCAGAGGTTAAGAGCACTGGCTGCTCTTCCAAAGGTTCTGAGTTCAATTCTCAGCAACCACATGGTGGCTCACTACCATCTGTAATGAGACCTGGTGCCCTCTTCTGGCCTGCAGGGATGCGTGCAGGCAGAACACTATATACATAATAAATAAATAAATCTTTAAAAAAGAAAGAAAGAGAAAAAGAAAGAGAAAAAGAAAGAGAAAAAGAAAGAAATTACCTTTGTCCTAGGGATGCGTGCAAGCAGAACACTATATACATAATAAATAAATAAATCTTTAGAAAGAAAGAAAGAAAGAAAAGGAAGGAAGGAAGGAAGAAAGAAACCTTTGTTCTATCCCTGCACAGCCTGTCCTGCTGGGCGCTATGGTGCTGCCTGCCTTCTGGGGTGTTCCTGTCAGAACAATGGTACCTGTGAGCCCACCACGGGTGCTTGCCACTGTGGCCCTGGCTTCTATGGTCAAGCTTGTGAGCACTGTGAGTGGGGCTGTCCCCTTACCTTGTCCCCACACCATCTAGGCCGGTCCTGGTTCATGAAAGCAATGGCCACCTTCTTGGTCATTGTTCATGGGGAGAGATGGGATGACCCTGACCAGGCTCTGATAAGGACTCCCACGCTGGCTCCTTATGCCTCTGCCTTGTCATGTGAGCCCTGGCTGGGATGCTGGAGTATGATGGGAGCCAGGAAGGAGGGAGAATAGGACATTCTGGAAAGGGCCTCTCTCAGCTCTTGGATTTGGTCCTTTGCTTACTCTGGGAAAGTTGGGGGTTTCTGCTGCCTCCTGCCCTTGACTCATTCTAACCAGGGTCCTCCTTCAGCCTGCCCCGCTGGCTTCTATGGATCTGGTTGCCAGGGAGTCTGTGAGTGTCAACAGGGAGCCCCCTGCGACCCTGTCAGTGGCCAGTGCCTCTGCCCTGCTGGCTTCCATGGCCAGTTCTGTGAGAGGGGTGAGTGTCAGGCCCCCACCCAGCCCCTTTACCCTGTCCTTGTCTTGTTTAATTCGGGGAAGGGAACACTGAGCCCATTGCCCCCACCAGGGTGCAAGCCAGGCTTTTTTGGAGAGGGCTGCCGGCAGCAGTGTAACTGCAACAAAGGTGTGCCCTGTGATTCCATCAGTGGCCTCTGCCTTTGCCCACCGGGGCGCACAGGAGCTACATGTGACCAGGGTGAGTGGAGGGGCCTGTCCAGGGTGGGACCTGAGGGGAGGTTTCCACCAACAGCAAATATCAAATCATGTGGGCTGGGTCACTGCATGCCAGGCTGCAGACCACACACTGCCTTTCTAAGATCTCTGCTCCAGTCTGCATCCTCGTGCTGTTGGCAGTAGCCAGAACACGACACAGGCAGCCATTGCAGCTGCCAGTGTTAGGCCCTGTTCTGTGGTAGTCTAGAGTCTGGGGACTCTATCTGGCTGTCATGGGAAAGGCCCCAATGAGGTGGAAATACATCCCTGACTTATCAGTCATGGCCATAACCCCTTCAGACCAGACTGAGGATGGGGCTGTCCTGATGGGGGTGCAAAACTGACCTTATGACTTTTGGATTCATGCAGCCTTGGGGACAGCAGCTGTGGCTACTCTACACTGCCTCACCAACCCAGGCACTAGGCAGGAATGTGTGCCCAGGGCTTGTGGCTGGTGCTTTTCCATGGTTGAGCTCATGGTTATAGAACACAGATTTTTAAAAAGTGGGTAGGAACTGTTATTCTTTTCGGAGGAAAAGGAGCCCATGGTCTTCTCTACTTCCCCAGAGGACCTCATGACACCTGGGCTGTCTACCCATGTCCAGCAGATGGGACGGTTGTTTATGCTTCTCCTACCTCCTGCCCCTACAGATTGCAGAAGGGGCCGCTTTGGGCCTGGCTGTGCCCTGCGCTGTGACTGTGGGGGTGGGGCTGGCTGCGACCCCATCAGTGGGCAGTGCCATTGCGTGGACAACTACACAGGGCCCACTTGCCAGGAAGGTAAGTCGGGTTTCCAGGGGAGGAACTGAGACTTTCCTGTCCCTGGCCAGGAACCCACCCCTCGTCCCAGTACCGCCACCCAGTGGTGGAACAAGACCGGTCAGTGAGAAGTTCAGCCATCCCTTCCTGGCACCCAGAGTCCACACAGTGGGTGGTGATGAGTAGGCCTCAAGCCGCTTCCCCTGGGCAGGAACGGGTTGCACTGCCAGCCCAGAGCACCAGCCCTTTCCCTGGAGTGACCTGAAAGTTGCAGCAGGAGCTCACAGATCCATATGCAGGCAGGGCTAGGGATTCAGTCTGGGTGGGTGCTGTGTGCCCATGCCTCTGTGAGCAGCAGTGTATGCACGTACACCAGTGTGTTGTGAGCTAGTGCATGTGCACATGTGCCAGTACATTGGATTAGCGACACAAGCATGTGAGGCAACTGTGCATGTACCGGTACATGTGCATGCACTGTGTGTGTATATGCTCTCGGTGTGTGTCAAGGGGTGTGTGTACTTCAGATATATGTCTTCCTGACGTATGTGTGTTCCTTCATGGTGTGTGTGCTCAAGGGACACGTTCTATGGGTTGCACATGGGCTTTAGGTATAAATTCTCTGGGTGGGTACGTGCTCCATGTATACATTCTTCAGGTATGTGTGTGCTCTAGGTATGTGTTTCCCAGGTGTGTGTGCTCCATGTGTACGTGGCTTCAGGCATACATGTGTGCCCACTTCTTTGTACACCATGTGCATATGCTTGTTCCAGTGACGTCTATGCACCAGGCATGTGTACCGTGTTGAATTCAAGTACATGTGCTACAGTGCATGCCTGTGTCAGGCATGTGTGTTTCCAGTACATGTGTGTGCACCAGACACATATGTGTACACATGCTTTATTGTATGCTTGTGCCTGTGTGTACTGACATGCAGAGCTGAGGAAGTAGTCCCTTGATCCCTAAGTCCCTGAGGCTCTGTGGGACCGCACCTCCCATCTGCAAGGTAGAGCTGGTTGTACTGCACCCCTGTGAATAGCCCAAGCCCCTATGGTGTCTCCAGTTGGCTCCCCAGGCCCAGGCTGCTGAAGGTGCCAGGAGGGGTCTCTGTGAGGGAGGTGGGAGGCCAGCTGTGGTGCTCTGCAGGGTAGGACACGATAGAGGTGAGGGCCCAGACCAGGAGCCCTCAGCTGAAGCCCCGCAGTGTAGACTGGATACTATGTGAATCATTTTTAGCCTCTCCAAGATGATCACGGCCTCGAACTGTTAAGAGCCACGCAGCAAGCTGTTAGGATCAGGTTGCAATTTTCTGACTGGTGTCTGGGTACATAATGCTATCCACAGTGGCACCTGGTGGTCAGATGTGGTACTACACCCTAGGACCTCAAATTCCAGAACCTTGACATTTAGCTGATCTTTGAGAACTGGACTGTGGGGAGGGCATTGTTGGCCCCTAGCAGTCCTGGGATAGCCCTTTTCCCTGGGTGGGTTTGACTTAACCTTGGGTGAAGCTTTCCTGTCTCCCACCCTTCTTGGAAGTTGTAAGAGTGAGAGCTGGGCAGACCCCCTCCCCCACTGCTTACATGGGAGTGGGATGGAGAAGGTTATGCTGGTAGATGTGTGGGGTTCCTATGGACATGGGTGATTGATGCCTTACTGGCCCATTACTAGTGTCTACTCAAGTGTACAACATGAGCTGTCTATCACTCAACTCCCTGGGAGCCCAGAGTTCAGGTGGAGAACACGCTTGCCCGGACGCTGCTCTCTGGTTAAGACCAAAGGAATAGTCCCACACAATGATGAATACCTTGGCTTCCCTGTGCCTTCAGAACCTGCATCTTAGAGATGAGGCTGGACCACGGTGGGAGGGGGGATGGACTGTTACTTTTGCTGGGCTAGGCTAATGAAGGAAGAAGGTCACCACCTTCTGCCTGGAATTGGCTGTTTTGAGGATCCCCCCCCCACCTTACCTTGTTGCTGACCCTCTGTTCTCCTATGTCCCTAGTGGCTACACAGCCATCCTCCAGCAGCCCAGCACCCCAGCAGCCCAGCAGCAGGGCCATGAGGCACTAGTTCATGGAATCCCCACAGAGGACCACTACCATGTTCCAGCCCAAGGCACTGAGAGGACATGTGTGGACCTAGGACTCCTGGTTCCATACCTCTTCTGGAAAGCTATGGATCTCTGTGGAGGGCTGTGGAGAGCCTCAAGGTCACGGGGAAGAAGGCCTCAAGTGGACACAGTGAACCCAGGGAAGTGGACCAGGCCTCAGGCCACCGTTTACATGGGAACCCTGCAGGCTATGCTGAGGAATCCTGGCTCTCTTTAGGGACCTGGGTTGGGACCAAGGCAGGAGTTGGCAAGGCCCCACCTGCCTGGCAGGTCCTTCTGGTGCTAGGCCATGGACTGCTGCAGCCAGCCAACTGTTTACCTGGAAACGTAGTCCAGCCCATATTTATGTAAAGGTATTTATGGGCAGCTCCACTTGCCATTGTGGCCCTAGGTCAGCTGGAAGCTACCCCATCCCAGAAGCTTGGACTCAGGCCAGTGGGCTGTGGGGTCTCCAGAGTTTTGTAAAGTCCTATGAGTTAAAGGCACAGTGGTGTCCTCGTGGCCTGGGTTTTTGTGCTTTTCATAGACGCTATGTGGGTCCTCCCAAGAGTAGCTGGCATGAGGGCTCTTGGATGGGAGCCTCCCCAGTCACGGAGGCCCAGGTGGGTTCTGTACCCTCTCTAAGACAGGTGCCAACCAGTCACATTGGGATTCTCCTGGCTTCCGGCTCTGGGGTCATGAGGCAGCTTCTAGCCAAGGTGAATTGTCCTAGAGAGGATGCTGGTGCCTAAGACACCTCCAGAGACCTAGCAAGTGACTTCCTGTAGGAAGAATGTCTCAGAGGGAGCAGGGCGGGGCTGGCGTGGAAGGGAATCCATGCTTAACCCAAACAGCTCACCCCTGCCTCAACAGGGGAGGGCCAGGCAGTCTCACAGGAGCCAGGGCTCCCTGTGGATCAAGGCCGATACCACAGGTGTAGCCCAGAGAGGAGCTGCAGGAAGGGTGGGGTAAAGCCTTCACCCAGAAGGCAAAATTGGGGGAGGGCTGGACTTAGACCCACCGCCCACCCAGAGTAGCCCCTTGTTTTGGATCTGGGTAGTGGCTGCCTCTTCCCCCTCTCCCATAGCAGCCCAGGCAGCTGGAACCCCCAGGGACACTACAAGTGCTCCAGAGGGATGGGCAGCAGTGGGAGCCGCGTCAGTAGGCCACTATACACAGACTTAAGTAGAGGAAAGGGGACAGAATAGTGAGTGGGGAATAGCTTGCAGGCAGTGTGGGAATGAAGGAGGTGCCCAGAGGAAAAAAGGATTAAGAATCAGACAACAGAAACTCTTAAGGGAAAGACTGGCAGCCAGGAGATGGTGATGTTCTGTCATTGGTATTGAAAAATTAAATTTTATATCCAGCTAAACTGTTGCCATGCCCACAGGCTCACCCATGATTCTAATGTGAAAATATCCCTGGGAAGAGCTCAGGAGGGAGCCGTGGGAGAGCGCGCAGGACATTTCCTACACTGTCATCATGAGGAGAACCGAAGTTGGCCTTCTAACCCACAGGTCAACCCCAGACTGGTTCACCATGGGGGAGATGAAAGGGAAGTTAGAGACGGGCATCGCTGGTCCTGTGAGTAACAGGCAGGGAGGCAGCAGCTGCAGCCAGCACAGTGGGTGATGGAGTGGTCCACTGCCAGCCCTCCTGAGGACCGGGGTCCACCCGGGGCGGAGAGGGAGGGAGAAATAGGGAAGGAAAGAGCAGGCTAATGGGATCTAAGCAGACAGAGGTCCAGACTATACTAAAAATCATATGTTCTTAAAGGGCCAGGGGGCTCAGTGGGTGAAGGCACTTGCTGCCAAGCCTGACTGTTTCCCACATGGTGGGAGGGGATTAGCGACTGGCAGGTTGTCCTCTGACCAACACATATATACCCCCTAATAAATAAATGTAATTTTAAAGAAAAATTTTTAAAAAGGCAATAGGATCTAGCCTATAAGACACAGCTGGAGGTTAGAAATACAACCATAGCAAGAAGAGCTGAAGGAGGTTTTAAAAAAAACTTTAAAGGAGGTTTATTTGTAGTGTATGCATGTGCATGTTAAGTGAGGCTGCCTGTGGAGGTCAGAGGCAACAGATCCTAGAGCTGGAGTTACAGGGTATGAGCTGGGTACTAAGAATTGAACGCAGGTCCTCTAGAAAAGCAGTATTGCTCCTAACCGCTGAGCCATCTCTTCATCCCCTGGGGAAGGAGTCTTAATGCTGTGAAGGTGCAAAGCATTGTGGCTGTCTATGCACATGCATGTACACACGTACCTACACATATATACAGAGTAGATGTTCACAAATCCATAGAGCAGTGGTGGCTGTCACAGGCAGAGAGAAGTGCATTACAATGTAACATCCTCTAGAGAAACCTATAGGTTAGGCAGACTGGGCAGCAGTGGTCAAATCTGCGCGAGCTTTAGCATGTTTATATATATGTGTGTGTGTTCATGATATTTATGTTTTATACACATTTATATCCATCAAACAGGGCTGTGGGTGTGTATAGGAGGTACTAGAGACAACTCAAGCCCTTCACACACAAGGCAGATGCTCTACAACCTAGTTACATGTAAGAAAGCCAAAATGCTCTCCTTTGAAGACTAATACGCCCATCAGACAACCGGTTGGTTAGTTGATTGAGACAGGCTTTAGCATGTAGCCCTGGCTAGTCTGGAGTTTGCTATGTAGACCAGGCTGACTTGGACTTAGAGGTCATCCTGTCTCTGCTTCCCAGGTGCTGGGGTTACAGACATGCACCACCATGCCTGACGAGACTGCTAAGTTTTTAAATATGAAGTGAGAAAAATAAGGGAGAAGCGCAGGGATTTTACAAAGCATGTGGCAGGCAGCTACGATCTAGCACCTTTCCAACTGGAAGTGGATGTATTTGGGGGGAAGAAAAATGCCAGGCTTGGCATAAGTGGAGGTTAAAGGAACTTTGGACTGGTAAGGTTGCTCAGTGGGTGCCTGACTCCAGCCTGACGACGTGAGTTTGAACCCAGGACCCACACAGTAGAAATACAGGGCACAGAGTGGATGGCTCCGCCACGAAGAGCACTTGTTCTTGCGGACTGCAGAGGCCCTGTTCAGTTCCCAGCATCCCCCAGCTCCAGGTCCAGACTCTGACAGTGGGTCAGTTGGGACATGACTGAAGTGACAACTTAGCATGTTCAGCCCAAGGTCCAGCGACAGCGCATTAGGGACAGGTGGTGGCTGGTGTCATCTGACAAGCAGGGATGATAAAGAGGAATGATGGTCTGGACACACCGACTGGCTATGGACATGGGAGGGGCATTTTCACCAGAATGGCAGTGGGAGTCCTCACCATGGCTTCACTTTCTTGGGGTCAAAGCTAGAGTCTTAAGTGAGGCAGGAAAGCTGGGGTCCTGGAATGTAGCTCCCATATTAGTGCCTTTTATAGCCACCAGGGGGCCTGAGAGAGAAAGCACCACCACCTTATGGCCCATGGCAGTAGGAGCGAGGCAGCCTGGCACAGAGTCAGGGATGTTCTGGAAGGATCAGAAATGAGCCTGATGAGCAAGGGAAACAGCAGTCCCAAGGCTGGGCGGAAGGTGCAGTTGTGTGCACATCTTCATGGTATCGTGGCCGGACTAACTTTCTCTCACTCCTTGGAGGAAAGGTTAGAGGCTTGGGTTCACAGCCTTCCAGTCCACTTTGTTCTAGCTACTGAAGGTGCTTGGTGGTGGGCCAGCCTGCTTCTCCTGGACATGCTCCTCAGAGGATCAATAGGGGGGAGCAAACCAGAGGCCACAGGGCGGTGGGTTCACACCATGGTGTTTCTGCTTGTGCCACAGGCAGACATCAGTGACTTACTGCACCTACGTGCATATACACCACTCCGTGGCCACCAGTGTGCTTTTACACACACACCCACAGCTCCAAGGAAGTGGGGCATTAGGGTGAGGAAGATGGAGATGTTTATTTCTTTCAGATTGAAGGAGGTACTAGGCCCTACCTCAGAGAGTCAACCCAGGCCATGCCTACTCCCTGAACTCTGGCCTGGCTCTCCCTCCAAAGCAGCCACTCACAAACATGAATGAGTATTCACGTTGGTGAAGACTAGTGTCAGGCTGAACCTAGACTTGGCCCTTCTGGCTGCCTTGGTCATGGAGGCCGTAGGGAGTGGCTGGCCCTAGCCTGTCCAGGGGTGCAGCTCTTCCCCAAGCCTAGGGAGGTAGGGCATCACCATTTGTGCTTTTACACCTAGTGGAGATTCATCTACACCTGTCACTTCTGTAGCAAGGCAGAGCCCAGTAGGATGGGGCCGATTCTACAGTGGATGCTGGGTGCTCCACCCCAATCTAGCACCAACAAGCAGAGAAAGGCATGGGGCTTCAGCACCAGGCTGGGGTGCTGTTGGAGAGACCTAGCTTGGCCGTAGTCAGCACGGAGGCTGCCTTTCTGGCCTGTAGATCCCCAAGAGGGAGGTCTGCAGGGACTGGGATCCCCACCCCAGAGTGTCTCCACGGTGTCCAAGCCCTAAGAACCCTGTGGTCAGGCTAAGCCCTGTAAGGTCCAGCTGTTAACATTTCTGACCTCACAAGCAGAAGCCACAGCTTTGCTGTGACACTCTGGCTAGTAGACAGATGGGGCAGAGCTAAGGACAGACCTGAGGCCAGTCTCCACACACCTGTTATACCTTGGGATTTCACTGAGACAAGTGGCTGTGACCTAAGCTCAGGTGTACCCAAGTTTTAAAGAAATAGTTTAATGTTGTTTAAAAACCTCCATCACGCCGGGCGGTGGTGGCGCACGCCTTTAATCCCAGCACTCGGGAGGCAGAGCCAGGCGGATCTCTGTGAGTTCGAGGCCAGCCTGGACTACCAAGTGAGTTCCAGGAAAGGCGCAAAGCTACACAGAGAAACCCTGTCTCGAAAAACCAAAAAAAAAAAAAAAAAAAAAAAAAAAAAAAAAAAAAACCTCCATCACAACATTTCTGCTGGCACCTCAGGTTACCGTCCACCAACATTGTCCTCTCTGAACACGGGCCCTTCCTGTCTCACTTGGGAAAGAGGGGTGGATCTGGGATGTCTTCAACGAAGGCAGCAGTCCTGTATCACCCGTGGCCTGGGTGTGGCTCGGGTGGCCAGCGAGGAGCCAAGCTGGACTCCTACCGGAATGTGGGCCCCTGGAGCTTGCCTCAAAGCCTTCTGAGAAAGCAGATGGAATATATAGGTATCCTGTGCTCTGCACTCAACCGTGAGCCTGTGGGAAGGCCCAAGGAACAGAGCTGTGTCCCACTTCCTGGGGTTAGGCGGGAGGAGCGACGCCGTGTCCACCATGGCTGGCTTCGAGCTGCCCAGCTACACGTCTGTCTCCACCCGGAGCCGCTCCATCCTGCGCACGTTGCCTTCCACCGCCACGCGGCTGGTGATACAGCGAGCAAAGCTCTCGGGGAACCAGCCCGTCTCTCCGTCCCGAAGCCTCTCTCCATGCAGCCAGCCTGGATGCACAGGGGTAGATGAGAGGGACCCCTCCCATCCCGCCTCTGCTCTTGAGGG